GAGGTTCGCCGAAGTCTCGGTGCTTAGCCAGAAGCCTATTTGCGACGCTCATTTCATGGAAATTCGTAATTTCCCGACTTTTCGCGGCTCTCCCATGTACACTGACGTTACCTCCCGCGTCCGTTACTTCCGAGGCCCACGAGATGACGGCCTCAGAGTTCCTGCAACTCGCGCTATTCGTTCGGGTTTCCGTAAGTCTTAGGTTTCCGGATGGTTTCCGGGAAGTTCCCGTGGGTTTGCCGCAGGAATGTCCTGAGATTTTGGGAAGGAGAAAGCCCCTCCTCGTTGAGTGGATGCCTGAGAAGCTTCCACGGGCCAGTACCATCCGGGCATCGGCACCTGCCCCCGCACCTCAGACCCCTCGTGGAGAGAGCCAAGACGGAAAAAATCGGGAGACGTCAAGACACGACGGTTCGCTAATCCGTGGGCCGCGCTCTGTTGGGTCAGAAACAGGACATCCGATGCGACAAGAACCGACCTCCGTTTTTAGAGAGATCGGACACAAGGAAGCGATTTATCGAGTCTTCCTATTTTCGTGTCATACTTGTCCTGGCTCGATGAGTCTGTTCGCGTCTGAGCCGGCAGTAGCGTAGACAGTCGCCCGGCCAGCCGGCCAACTGAATGGCATGCGTTGCGAGAGATCTCTTCTCGCCGCGCCATCCAAAAACCACTGAAGTGATGGCTACCGAGTGCTTCGCAGTTTCATGGGAATGCGGTCGAGGCGCGAACGGAAAAAGGAGAAAGCTTCGAGGCTTTCCGGCCGGCATTCTTGCTTCATAGACAAACGGGACAGAACACTTATCTTGCATGAGTCTCTTACGAGTGTACGACAGCTCGTTGATGGACACTTTGTCACAATTAGCTGCCGGTCTTCCAGCTTTCGTGGGAGCAGCTTCCCCCAGCTGACGATAGAGACGAATGCGGTAGACGGTAGATGTCGCACCCGGGACCGACCTTGTCGTCACTCGAGCTGTTCGGCCTCCGTTCGGCGACATTCGAGGAGCGAATCATTCCGAGGATGTGAGCTCGGGATTACAAGGACGGGTCTGAGTAACTCCTTGACGGCTTCCAGGAGGGCTCGGATATTCGCGTCGAGACGTAAGAGTATCCGACGCGCATTTTTTCCATCTGGGTGAGTTCAGCCGCGAGTTCGCGCGGTCACCAAGTACCAAGACCCATGGCCGTTGTTCATTCCCAGATCTTCACCGCCCGAGATTCATGAAGAAAGCTGGTCACCACACCATCGAAATATCCATCCAAAGGACCGGTCAGTCAGTCAGTCAGTCAAATCGTCCGGCCAACAGGCAGTCATCAATGATGACGAGCCATCATCATCCAGCCGCTGTCTAAACGATGAACTGCTGGGTGGTCTTGGCACTGATGGAAGTTTTGTCGGTACCGAGGACCCAAGGGTACTTGGCGACAGAGACCGGGCGTATGGGAGAAATCATCGGATTCCTCTCTTTTTTTTCGTTTTATCGACGATCCACCGGAGCTGCCATGGCCGGCTCGCTTGGTTCGCGCGGTCGTATAACAATACATGCGATGACCATTACATAGAACATAACAGAATTCGGTGGAGACAGCACCCGAGGCCGAAGCATTATTGAGCGAAAATCGTCCGTTTGTGCCATGCCTCGTTCCCCTCGCTCACTGTCTTTCTCATCGCAAGACATTCCGAATCGTGTCCGTTGGATGTTGCGCCGAATCGTCTTCTCGGTCCATACACGACGGAATTATGGGGAACATGTTCCAGAAACATGTCAAGCTGACGGAATTAACATCGATATCTTCGCTCTGATGGCCAGCATCAATGTGAGTAAGGGAGCTCCACATTTAATCAGAAGTTGCCGTGAAGACATCGCATCCGTTCCGCTCACAACTCGCTCGGATCGCCAATCATGCAGAAACGTTCATCGCGTCGAGGTGGAATTAACAGCTCAATGTCATTAGATCGAATCGAACGCGTGCTCAGGTCCGGCCCGCCGAGAGATCACACGACGAGATTTATTTGCAAACAAAGGCGGCGACCAGTCTTCAAAAACCAATAACGATGCCAGCGGCGAAAAGCAATCGAGCCTCTTTACGGTTACCTATTAGGAGAGGCGTCTCATTCACTCAAAGATGACGAGCTATTTAGATTGGCGCCGTGTACTTCGTATAATTACTTCATGTGATAGGCATTGAGCGTCTTGCGTGATCGGGATCAAGCGGACTTTGTCTTCTCCATCGTGGTCGTCATCGGGTTCGAGCTTCACTTCACTTTCTCTCGGTACGAAGACGGAGAAGTGATTATGAAGTATTCGCTGCGCCCCCGCTTATCTCGTTGTCTGATGGGCGGTCGGACGGGCGGCGCCGCTGCTTCGCGTACGCCGACTTGGAGTTGCATGGCGGAGTAGCACGACGTCGAAGCCAACGAAGACGACGGCCGGCGGAGAAACGCGACACGGTGTGAGTTCACTGTAGCTGCTCGTCTCGTGTCTTTCGGTCGTAGCTTGTTTGCTGTGCTTCCTTTCTGCTGCTATTTAAGGGAAGTTAATCCGGATCGAGAACTCATTCTGGCCGACCTGCCGAGGATCCAACGTTACTTGAAAGGAAGAAAAAAGCCGTACGCTCATTTCGGGAAGGGACTTTCGAAGAACAACGAAGGAGGAGTCTCCGGAGTCCGCGAACCGCAGCGTTTCAGTGGTGGCAAGCAGTAGTGAAGATGTTACAATTTCGTACAACGGTTGTAATCCGCTTGTCGGTTCCTTCTGAATCGTCTCGCGCTCTCTCATCGTCTCTTTTGCTCGACAATCTCTTTCGCCGCCGCCGCCGCGGCATCGGCAGCGGTGGCTTTCTACGATGTGAATAAGGGCCATAAGATGGGCCCCTTATCGCGTTTATTCGAGCAACCGACACTGACGGCGATAATCCGATGACACACGAATCACAAATCCACTTCGTTTTTTACGCTCTTCCACGACGCCTACGAACAGAAAGAGGGAGCCGACGGTGTCAAGCACATGCCACTTGGCAGCTGCCTGCGACGGCGCTTCTTTTTAATTGAACGCTTCGGTATCCGGATGGTGTGCCGACGTGATTTACTAGTCATTCGCAAGATAAATAAGAATACATATTTCTCCTCTCGACATGAAGATTTCTGACAGCGCCATAACCTCGACCGTATCGGATATCGCGGTGTGAAAAAATGAAGCGGAAAGGAATCTGCTCGGCGTCTTCTTCTTGAATGAGCCGCCGAGCGCAGGGTCGGAATGACGACGCCGCCGAAGACAGTTGGATGTTCTTTCCAGTCGAGCTCACCGAATGAAAAACATGAAGCGATATTTTCTCATCTTCAAATGCGACCGCTTCTCCCAGAATCCGATGCCGTTGCTTGCACAGCGGCCGTTGCCGCGGTGGAACATGGAGGTGTTTACGTACTCCAAAAAGATCCCTGAGTGGCCTCGCTTCATCCCTGTCCAATTTCTCATGGTCTTTCAAAACAAACCGGAAGAGACCGTGACGATATTCCTCGAATGTAATCGACTCAAAGATGCTCCTGCGTTCCTGCATCCGAGCTCAGAATCGAAATCAGTCTCCGTTTTTTTCCGGAAAAAATATTACCGTTCTCGATTCCCCCTCTAAATGGGGGACACTTGGTGGTGCTTCATCCAGTCTTCGGCCGAACAACTCCCCCGTAGAGGGCTTTGCGGGGGAAAGGATTTACGTCCATCACGGCGGAACGCGCACTCAATCGTTCGAATGACAACAATCGATTAGTAACAAACGCAAGCGTATCCTCCGCGTCCGAGTTTGAGTGAGTAAGTGTGTGTGCCGGTTTAATGAAGCACTGTGGCCGACGTAAAGATACCGAAGGCCCCATAATTCCCGTTTTGAAAAAGCAGCCGTATAACAGCAACAGCGGACAGATAACCTAAGAAGGGCAGAAAATACTGATCGTCGTCTTCTTCTGATCAGCGTAGCAGCAAGAAGACAGGTTCCTCGAGCCTTCTTTTCCTTGCTCTTTATTAATACGCCATCGAGGGCGAAGGGATCTGAGATCTGAGCAAAGAGCGGCTCTGAGCGAAGAAGAACGCTCCCCTTAGAGGCGCGGTCGCAGTAAACATCGCTGTATCAAACGACTACTGGCAGAAATAATCCACTATCCAGTTTGGCTTCGTGTACAAAGAGATAATACGACGCATCCATGAAGATGCACTGCCGTTCGGCCCGCATCTACATGTTGCCAACCTTAATTATTTCACTCGGCCAGGCGGCCGGCCGGTCATTCTATGGCCCGGGCGTCCGTCACACAGTCGCATATAGACCCGAGAGGGAAGTGATTCTACAATCGCTAATGCTCCCTCGAGCCTCCATCCGTAGGAACGACCGCCATGTCAAATCCATTGTAGTTCTGTGTTTCCTTTAGGATTAGGAGGGAGAAAAGAAAGTCCCCGGCTGAAATACGCCTTAGCCACACGTAGAGCACGCAAGCGGGCATCGGGCACGGAAGGCACGTAAGCCGCTCACGACCATTACGGATGAATGAGCCCGGTGGAGTCGGTTTTGGGTCGCCGTCCCCGATTCCACTGCTCTTCCGTGTGTATTTTCTTAAGCGCACGCTTTTTTTTTTGAAGAAAATCATAATTTCTCCGCCGAATTCTCGGAACTGACTGTCAGCATGCCCGCTGGCGGACTGACAAAGTAGTTTTTCTAATAAACCATTAAGTAGGCGTTGTCGGTGAATGTTTTTACGGTCAAATGAACGCACCAACTGATGACAGAGAGCGCAGTAGCGGACGGCATAGAGCCGCGTCGGAATCCGCCGTTCTCGGAGGGCTCCCGCGGCCGTAGGAGAGTCGGTCCCCGGGGGGTCGGCCGGCCATTTCGCACGCAGTTTCGAGTGGCCAACCTATCGATTGATTCATCTCTAGATGTTGTCGCTTCCGAGTTCGAAGTCGATCCGCGCAGTATACGACATGTCGATCTCCGAGTAACTTGGAACCCTTTCATTGCAGCTTGCCAATGCAACGGTCACTCGCGATCGTGCCGATTCAACATGGAGCTGTACAAGTTGTCCGGCTCCCGGAGTGGCGGGGTTTGCATCAAATGCCGTCACAACACAGCGGGGCGTCACTGCCACCATTGCCGCGAGGGCTACTATCGCAATCCCGAAGTTGCCCTCAACAACAAACGAGCTTGCAAACGTAAGTCACATAGCGTCGTTGCATCATGAATTCGAGAGAGGATAGCGTAGCGATCTTCGGCTCCACTTGGAGCGGGTATCGGTCCTGTTCGTACAAGGTGGAGTATCAATTGGTCTGGAAGGACAGCATGCACATTATAGTGTCGTGTTACTTTTGCAGAATGCGAGTGCCACCCTATCGGATCTCTTGGCCGCATCTGTAACATGACCACTGGACAGTGTCCGTGCAAGGACGGGGTTACGGGATTGTCTTGCAATCGATGCCAAAAGGGTTACCAACAGTCACAATCCCCCATCGCACCATGCGTTCGTGAGTATACGAAGACGAAAGTGTTCGTCTGATGGAAGAATGCCGGGATAGATAGCCGGGATGTTGTCGGTACGGCTCCGTCGATAGCGTTGTATCGTCTCACGCGGCTCGAACGTGCAGGAATCCCGCAATCTGAGGAACCGCCGATAGCTGACGGACCGGCGGACGAGGATTTCGAATACGACACCGACGAGGTTTCCAGCGAGGACAACGAAGGAGCATGCGCCGAATGCTCGAGGGATATCAATTTTGAAATGATCTGCAAGAAAGCCTTCGGTGAGTTTGAGCTGCACGCCCACGGAGAGACGGTCAAACCCACGGGGAAGGCGGCGGCCGGAGGGGCGAGCTCTCCTCAGCGAAAATCCAAATCACGCTTGAATCGCGTACGTGCTCATCATGGGAAGGAAGGGAAAAGCTAATTCTCTGTTTGGTCTTTTCGTATCTAGCTATCCGTGCCAAGATATTGAGTCAAGAGAGCTTCGGTCAGTGGGCGCGATTCACAATTGAGATCCGACGGATTCTCAAAAACGGGCCCGAGAGACTCCACAAGGGTCTCAGACACCTTTGGGTACCGACGGAGAACTTGAAGTGTCGCTGTCCTCACCTCGAAATCAGCTCCACATACGTCATCGTTGGTGAGTATCGGCGCTTCCCCATCCCAGAAGAATCACGCTCTCGTTTAGCCCGAATGGACTGTGCGAGTAGGCGACAGTTGTCGGTCCTGATTTCCCCCAATCGTAGCTGAATCAAGAGTGCTTTTTACAGGTTCGATGCAGATGCACGGAGGGCAACTCCAGCCAACGTTCGATCCGGACGGAATTATAGTTCAAACATCAGAAAGCCTCGAGAAGAGAATAAGGAAAATGGTTCGTAAACGGAGCCGTTGTCCCGAGTGAAAGCATTTCGCCAGTACTCTCAGTTCGAACAGAGAGAAAGAAACTCCGAGCAGCCCACCTTGACGCTCAGACCCGTTCACAGACGGGGTCTCCCATTTCATGAAATTGATTTCTGAGAGCAGTTTTCTTGCCTTCCTCGAATAGAGTTTTGTTCCTTTCGTTTTTGCAAAATCATTCGATTTCGGAAGCGTCTCGCCGATCCACACCCGTCGAACTGGCGTCGCTCGGACGGCCGAGAAACGAGTCGCCACGGGACGATTGCGTATTCACGACGATACGCCTTTATGTCCCAGACAGGGTGGAGGCCTTCATCTAATGTGTAAATATGGTGTTGTACATAATCCAAACACTTCTAATTTATACAAATGACAAATAAACTGTGTCTCTCACCTAATACAATCCCGGGCTTCTGCTTATTTGGGTGAGTGTACCTCGTCGGGTGGAATTCCGAGCGAGGATCCGTGCTGCAGGTCCGAGACCCTGGCCTCGAGTCAGCCGAGGGAAGCTCGTGTCGAGTCAGATAAGAGGGACAGATCGGAGACGTCAATGATCAGTATCGAAAATCTAATCTGTCGGGTGTTATTCGCTGTTGGAAGCATCCATCTGCAGACGGCGAAAAGAGGGCTATTGGCAGGTGTACGGGCAGGTGCCTTAGCTTTGTGAAAGTTAAGGCTGCCGTTGAGGCCCGGGAAGGTTGTTCAGGGTGGTCGAAAGAGAGAGTCGTATTAGGGAAGAAGAAAGCAGAGTGCGAATGAAAGAGCATCTTACCACGGCCAGCGGCACCGACTGCACCATTTACCCGACCGTTCGTCTGTAGCTCGGTCCGCCTCTCTGTTCATCGATACTCCATCCATATCAATGAAGGAAATAGTGGCGGCGTCATTGTTGCGTGCGGAGATTAGCGGCCGTTGCGAAACACGCACGCACTCACTCACTAACTCCCACACATACATACAACAACGAGAGCGACTGAGTGAGTCGGGGGAAAGCGGACGGGAGGGGCAAGGTGGGAGGGAGGATATCATCCTGTCCGTCAGAGGGAATGACTGCCTTCCTGTCCCTCCGAGCATCCGTTCGCTCTCGAGTGCAGGCAGCGTACCGGCGAAGACGACGCTTACGTTCAGCTCCCCCTCGACGTCACCGATCTGTGAGAAGGAACTACGGGTAAGAAGCATTCTAAGAAAAGCGATATGAGTCGCTGAGGTAAGCAGTTGTATATTCGGATAGCGTTTGTCATTTGGGGTTTCCCTTGAAAGATGTGCCGTCAAGACTCACAGCCAACCCGCTTCCCGCGATCTTCGTGGACTGACGACAAAGACAACGTAGAGACGTAGAGGACCACACTCCTCAGCATCGTCCGCTATCATTCACCTCGTAGAACGACCGAGCGAACGTCCGGCTTTCCCTGTCAGATTGTGTCTCTTCTGACGATATGTACATACCAACAAGAAAACAGAAGTGAAAAAAACGCGGATGAAGCGACTTCTACCGCCGCCGCCGTTGCTGCTGCGGTGGCGCGGGTATGACAAGGGAATGACGGTATCGAGGGCAATTTGTCCATTGGGCCAATGCGGTAACCCGAGGTCCGTTGGCCTGCCTAATCGTCTTCAGCGACGAGCCCGGCGTCAAGAGGACAGTCTCCGTTGTCGTCACCGTGACCATCGACGTCACGGCCGTCGACTGCCGAAGCGAAACGCACCAGGACAATGGCCGCTGTGGACAAGGGGCACGCCTTCAGCTCCGCCCAGACGGTGCCTTATGATGACAATGCCTGATTGGATTGTGGACAGGACAGGCGCCCATCAGCCTGTTCAACGACTTTTCCTCGAGGGCATCCCACTCATTATCAAGATCACCGACGTCGTCGTTCGGCACCATTTTGCACCAGCATTGTAGACGTTACACGACCTATAGAAATGTAGAAGATAGCGATATGAAGAGACTCCCCTAATGGCCATGTCCTTTGACAATCGGAGCCCTGAGGGTGGGATCCGTTTCCTCTGAGCCGTGGGCCACAGCTCTGAGTGTTCGCGACATTTCTGTGCGGGGCACTGCCTGTTCCCGTCGCAGGATTTCTGTGTGCCCGCTGTGAAGGCAATGCGTTTTTTCTTCTTCAATTGGCAGGGAATAAATAAATCTTCCCGAGCTACCAGTCTTCCGTGTGATATCGTCGTGACGTACCGATGGCTTCTGCTCGATTGAGGTTTTCGGGATTATGAGATGGCGGCTTATCGAAGCGATAGCCGATGGAATTACCGGGGACCATAAACGGATAGGAATCGTCCGGCGCAAAAATGCATATGTGACGAGAATCCTCGGCGAGGGAAAATTCCTCAGTAGATTGAACCCTAGCCGTGACCTTGCCCGTGGAGGCTGAAGACTCTCGATGTGAAAAATCCATTAACTCTTCGACGATGCCGACGCTCCACGGGTCCGACCAGAACTCATAGTCTGTAAAGTTCCGGCCTCTAGCCCTTCAGACGGAGGATATGGTCGCGACAAGCTCCGTGAGCAGCCGCGCTGAGAGATAACACGATATGAGTTGTGAATGAGCGGAGCAGTTCACTTCTTTCCTGCATTCCCTTCGGAGGCGATAATACATCTCAGACCGAGAACTCCCTGATAGCCCGAGGGTCAAGTAGATATTTAAGCTCGGAAGGAGGAAGCTTGAGGGAGTGTTCTTCTCTCATAGATCGGGAGAAATGCGCAGATAGCTGCGGGGGTTTTTCTTTGAAAGACAGACATGAACGCCCGATAGAGAGCTCGGAGCGGATCCCAGCGTTTGAAACTTGTTCTACGCGAGATTCCCCAGAAGCCTGAGGAGATTTCCTCCGTCCAAGTCTCAGAATCCTAATTCGGAAACCCTCATTAGCAGAATGGAAACTTCTCGCCCTGTGTGAAAGACACCGCGGTTCCCTTCTCACGACGATCTCCGGACTCGAAACGTCCGAATTCTGCTGAATCCCCGGTATCCACAGATCTATTCGATCGAAGAAGAGGCATCGGAACCGCGAGAGTAGTAATGGGAGGAGTGAGTGGAACGGCAATAAAAGTCCAACGCGACGGAGGGCTTCGAAGCCTATGAAGTATCATCTCCCGTCTCTCAAACTGTTGAATAATTTCCATTTCTCCCTCCTCCCCACGACGGGTCGCCGCCGCCGTCGCCCGTCTGCCGGCTGGGGAGTCCATCCGTCGCACGGGCTGTTCTCCACTCGGCTTTCTTATCGTGGCGCGCGAGTTTTTCTGCTTTCTGCGCGACCGATCGATCCGTCGCTTGATCGGTCGACGATGCGATCGCAGGTTCCTTTTTCTATAATTCTTCTCCGAAGTCTTCTGTGTACCCACTGCGAGATGTCTCGCAGCGCGAAGAGAAATTGGAATCGATTCGAGAGAAATTTAATTCCGATTATAAGTCCTCGAGTGACTCTCGACGTCCGGAACAGGAGAAATTTCGGAGGATCCGTCGCCGACGGAGTTCGGCGTCGTCTTTCGCGCAGTAGCGGTCCGAAGCAAACGAAACACTCGACTCGGGAGCATCCGCTCCTTTCGTCAGCGAGCCAATCAGAGTGATATCTGACCCTTTGCCCGACAGAATTTGACACGTTATTTTCAGCTCTGCGGATCCGGGCGTGATTCGGCAGGCCTTCTGATACGGTCGCATCTTGACAAGAACCCGTTGAGATTAGGCTGCTTCTAATGAGCCCTGAAACGGGTTGCGGATCTCGGCTTGGACCTCCCTCTTCTGAATGGGATTTGTCGTCCGAAACTGAACATCCTCCGCGACGAGGAGCCTTGTCCGCCGCCCCTGCGACCGCCTCTTCGCCCCGTTCTCAGTGAATATTGCGCCGGTGTTGTTTACAAGGTTGTCTCTTGAAACTTTTCTTCATCCGACCCGATACTAGGAAAAGTGATTCAATTGACTGCGACCGACGAATGTTCCCGGGGATTGTTCGACTTGTCTTTCGAGTTGTCGTCGTCCGCAGCGAACGACGACGGCGCGGCGGATGGATGATGCCGCTGCTGCTACAGTCTGTCTGACAGAGAAAAGAACTGGCAGAAGGCGGACACTCGCTTTGAAACGGGATACTACTATCCGAAGGCACGAGAGAAGACTCCATTCGAGGAGGAAATCGCTACCAGGGCAACCTTCCGGGCGGAAAAATGACCCGGAGATTCTCGTGAGTCGCGCCCGTTTTTAAGCCGAGCAATCATTTCGCAAGAATGCACACCGTTTCTGTTGTTAAGTCAAAACTACCGGCGCAGGTCCCGGGGGGACGATGCGCTGTCCACAGAATCGCATGCGGGTCGAAAAAACTCAAAATCGCATATTATTTGAATGACCAAAAAAGAGGGAATCTTCGCCTCGGATAAGCTCCCGGCGTGTGAGACTTATTCTGAGGGCTCGCGTCGGACACGTAGCGAAGTTGACTTTTTGACAAATTGCTATTTTTTCGAATTACAATGACTGATGATCGCTCCCTGACACCGTAGCTCACTCGGGGCGAAGACTGATTTCTCGGACTGAGTTTTCTCCCCGAGAAAACCTCCATCGCTCCCGAAGGAGACCGGCCGCGAGTGCGATTCGCCTTTTTCGACCTGTTCCGTTAGGTTTGGGAATTCCTCGGAATTCCACGTAGCTTGAAATCCTCGTCTCCACCTCCTCAAGACTCCCCCGATGTCCGGCGTCCGCGTCGAGGCGTATCGACTAATTGCCTCCTTCAACATACAGGTCGTGATCCGTCACATTTTTCCCGAATGAGCTCGCTTCAGCTGAACTCTACTACATAGGTACGAACAGGACGAACTTCGAGCCGCGCCTCCTTGAGGCTCAATATTTCAATATTTCCGGCTTTCCAGGACTTCCCCTGCGGTTCCAAATCCATATCTCGTTGCAGCTCCAGTGCGCCGCCCTTGGCGAGAAGCGACACGCGACTCAATGACCTACGTCAGTACTCCAGAAAGATGACAAATCGAGAGTTCAAGAATTGGGTGCATCATGACTCATTTCTTGCGAAATCCCTCGCTTTCCCTCGCAAAACTTGATTGATTGAGGGCAGACGATACATTGAATTCTTCAGTGGCGCGGCTCATAGCGCGAGACCATTACCATTTTCTAGATAGCGTCGGATGATGTCGAATCCACGATCACTGTACCGATTCGCTGTCGCTCGGCGATTGATATATGTATGCACGACGGGAGCAGCCTCAGCCTCCATGGAGGGTCGTTGCGACTCGCTCAGCTGGAAATCCCCGAGAAGAGAGAGTGGATTTGGCGAAGCTCACAATTAGCGACAGAGCCGGAAGGTCCCGTCGAAACAAATCAGTCTGATTCCTCAACTCCCATAAATTTAATTTCCCGATGAAGAACGAGTTGATACCCGCTGCCCCGAGTGCAGTCCTCCGGAAGATCATTCTCACATCATTCTCGAAGCCCATAGGTCGCGGAGAGCCGCAGCTGCAATCAAATTATCGACGAGATCGTTCGGTTTTGCTGGACAGAGAACACAATGCAGTCAAAGACACCGCTCTCCACCTCTTAGTCGGTCGCGCGAGCTTGTCGCTTCCACGACTCCAGCGGAACGAACAATTGTCGGCTTGACTGAGTGAGAGAAACGAGACTCTTCGCGGGTGGAGTGCCGAGCCTCAAATTCCAAACTCCGGCTTCCAAACTTTAGAAAATCGAGAGTTCAAAAGCCGCGCAAAATTCAAGCTCGGCTCAAATATCATCGGATCCGCTGAACACCTGCGCGAGATTTTCTTCTAGCCGAGAATCGACTGGGGATTGGAGATACATTAATCATGAATCAACGGACGGAATACAGACTTCGATTTCGATTTCGAAAACAATCGACATCATGATACTCCCCGTGTGGCTTGTTCATATTCTGTCGGAGACCATCAATTTTCTCGTACCAAATTACTGAAAGGAAATCTATCGCCTCCCCACAATACTAGCGGGCGAGTTCGCTCAAAGTGAAAACGGTGTAGAACAATGATGATTTACAATAGTTTCTCTCTGACCGTCAGTTGGCCGGATAAACAGTTTTTTTTCCTCTCCTCGATAGCTTCGAGACAACACCATGGAAAGGTGCTGGCAGCAGTCATGACGGCGGACTGTTTGTTTCTCCATCGATCGGGAGGCGTGAGGCATCGAATCGCAAACGAGTGCAGTATGTTCAACGATCCATCGTCGACCGATTGATTATTTTTCACGTCAGCGAGATGATTTCCGAGTGCTGCGGAATATTCGTTAATCCCAATCTCTCGTCATATCTCGCGAATGAAGGGATCGTTCCCACTCGCTAGACTAATATTCCACGAACCGATCGACGGTGTCATCAGACCCGCACCGACCGAATCCAGCCGATCGATCCCAGCCTGCGAGCCGTCAATGACTTCGCGGGACTTCGCGAAGACTGGATTAAGTAAACCGAGTCAATCCGAAGCGCTCGCTTTGAATGTTTTGATAGGGGGGGGGAGGTCTGGTATTCGACGACTTTGCTGCCTCACTCAATCACCTAGTCCCGACTTCGAGGAGCCTCGGCCCGGGTGTTCCCGGTCGGGAGAATGTTTGCGCTCATTTCGAACTTATGGCTTGGAAATTCCTAAGTTCCGAATTGCACAATCTCCGAATTGAATGAACGGGAATACGACGGGGCGTGTGTTGGAATGTTCCAATTATTTTGATAGATCGTTTGCCGCGGTGACGGCGATTCCGAGAAAGGCGACACGTCGGCATCCGCGATGTTTGCGTCATCTCAATAAACGTTTTCATTCATCAGCCGACGCGATTATAGTCGTGTCTCGTGGATGTTTCAGTCCAATACTACACACACAGCGTGCATCCTAATGAAGAGCATCGACCTCAATGCATGAATGTACGCCTCTGGCATATCTCAAGTTATTTCAACACCTCGGCAAAGCTTTTGCACTCGATCGCTCGCCCACTCGGTCGAGTCCTAGAGTGGCCTTCCCTTTCCATGTCGGCCTCTCCTCCCTCGGTGGAGGGGTTCCGAGGAGAGTTGCGGCGACTTCAGTCGGCTTCGATCCGCACGGAGTTCGCTCATGTTACCTCGGCTCCTACCGTCGACAGCACGTTGCTCGCGCGCTCCGAACGGGCCAACCATGTGATCGTGCGTGAACAATACGTGACAACTCGAGTGTTTCCTTGTGACAGCTCAGACACGACAACTGTTCCTACTCAAGATGCACGTTCGTTTCGCTCTGCTCGCAGCTGCGGCGGGCTCGATGTTGCTCGTGCAGCTGGCCGAGGCCGGGCCCCGGAAATACCGGAAGAAACATCGTCACTTAGAGAGCGACGAAGACGAAGCCAACTCGTTGTCGTGGTTGTCGATGTTTCAAGCCGAGCAAGCGGTTATCGATCCGTGTCAAGACGAGGCCGGTGTCGCTCGGAGGTGTATACCGGATTTTGAGAACGCGGCCTTCAAGAGACAAGTCCACGCATCGTCCACCTGCGGCAAGATTCCCACGAGACACTGCCAGGTTACCGCCGTCCCGGACTCGATAGGATTCGCCGGAGCGACGAACGAGGAACTCGTCCGAACGTGTCAAATGTGTGACAGATCAAATCCATCGACGAATCATCCCGCCTCATTCCTCACCGATGTCAACAACCCTTCAAACCTGACCTGTTGGATGTCCGAAGCTTTCAATCTGAACAACCGCCAGAACGTTTCGCTGCGACTTTCACTCGGGAAAAAATACGAGTTGACCTACGTCTCGATGCAGTTCTGCGGCGCGAAGCCGGACTCGCTGGCGATCTACAAAAGCAGCGACCACGGCAAGTCATGGCAAGCGTTCCAATACTATTCTACGAGCTGCCAGAAGACATACGGCAAGCCGTCCCGACAGAAGATCACGGTCGAGAACGAGCACGAAGCACTCTGCTCGGACCCTAACGGCGACAAAAACAGTAACAGCAATAATCGCATCGCGTTCTCAACTCTCGATGGCAGACCGTCGGCGTACGAATTCGATAACAGTCCACTGCTCCAGGACTGGGTCACGGCGACCGACATCAAAATCGAGTTCAATCGACTGGTGGATCCTCGTCAAGAGATCCTCCCGGGCGACTCGAGCATCGAAGATGTGAATGCGATTCTTGACGACTCGGACGAGTGGAACGTCAACGACACCCAACAGCTCAATGCCTCGCCGCCCTCGAGCAGTCAGGGCCAATCCTCAGCCATCGTCGCACTGTCGTCATCATCGCAAGGGAACCAGGAATTAAAGCAGGCCTACTACTTCTATTCGATGGCCGATCTAGCTGTCGGTGGACGATGCAAATGCAACGGACACGCGTCACGTTGTTCGGCCGTCACGTCCGATCCGAAAGGCTCTCCTCTAGAGCTAGAATGCGATTGTAAGCACAACACAGCCGGTCGGGACTGCGAGAAATGTAAACCATTCTATTTCGATCGTCCCTGGGCCAGAGCTACAAGTCAATCAGCGAACGAGTGCCGCCGTGAGTAATCATCCAAGTTTACAGATTTCTTTCACTTCCGACCCACTTCCTATTCGGAGTATGTACCATTGTGTGAGTAGACGCAAACACTCCGGACATGGAAGTGGACCCCGTCCTCGGGGCCCATCACCTGGCAGGACGGGAACCTCGGACATCGTCCGTCCCATTAGCCCGAATGAAAATTCCCGCGAGCGGTACGATGAATTCCTGCATCTCGTTTCATTGCATGGAACATCGGAGTATCACGTAGAGGGGCGAGCGACGCAAATACGACGACGAGGATATCATCCTGATTGGGCTTCTCTGCCTCCGGGCGTCGTCGTTGGTACTAATCCGGTAAACACGCCGCTGCTGCTGTTGCCGCCACTGCTACGCTAATTCCGCCCGGGGGCAGCTTGCTCCGGTCGGTCGTAGCTCTTGAAAGTTCATTCCGGGGGATCCGCAGCAACTCCAGCTGCTGCTGCTCCTCCGCCGACGTCCTCTTTTTCCTGCCGCGCGCGCCGCCCTCCGTCACGCCAGCCCCGCGTTCCCTATAGGAGCCGGCGACGGTGACATCGACTCAGAGGCCGCGCACAGCAGATGGAGCGACAAAGCTGTACAGATGGTGGTATGTAAAGTTTCGCTTGGAGAATTGCTGATCAGAATGGAAGCCGGTCGAAACCCACATCGAAAATTCCCCTCGTCAGCGAACGGCCGGTCGGTCCGGGGGTCATCGCATGGAGGTAGCCGCCCGTCTATCCACCCGCCCGGAGAACGTAGGAGGAATCTGCGCCAACAGCAGGTGGCACTCTGCGCTGACGAGAACTCGGAGCGTAGTCGGGAAACGTGGCGGGAAACTTTGTCAAGGTTGAATTAGCGACACTCAGAATTTCACTCGGAGCGAAATCTCTGCAGAAGAAAGTCACTAAGTGTTGTGCTGCTGATTATCGTCATGACAAGCTTTCGTCCTCGCTTTATACTCAATCCAGGGAGAGCACGTAGAGAATATCTTTCTGAGGCTGCTTTTCGAGGCGAATTCTTCCAGCGGCTCGCCAGAGATGGTACGTGTCGAAACTTGTCGCTTGCGAGCGGAAATCGAGACGATTAGATTTTCAAGCCCGAATCAAACTACCCACTCGAGATTCTCGGCGTACATTCACTCGAAACGGGCGGGGTTCCAGGACGTCACGCGAAGGTGATACTTGTGACTGCGTAGCTCCTTCCTGTCTAACTTTGGACGTTCGCCGCACTTCCTTGTGTCCAAATAACTTAGGCATCAGATGGAGGGAAGCTCATTTAGATGCTGCTGCTGCTACCGCTGCTGCCACGGCCGCTAATCACGTTAGTCGGCCGTGTCTATGGGCATTGCATAGCACATATGACTATTCGTCTCAACTAACACAAGACAAGGCGGAAAACAACTCCAGGCGAACTTTTAATGTCTTTACCACTCTTAATGGTCACATTTCTCTTATTGTCAGCCGAATGAAACGAGTGAGCAAGCGTTTTGTCCAAAGCTTCTACTCGCAGCGAGGATTCGCCCTCAGCACACGAGGCTTCCCTTTGGGCCCGCGTTGCGTCTCAGGGATTCCTCTCCAGGAAAAAAAATGAGGCGAATCTTCTATGGAGATCGTTGGGAGCAAATCGATTCGGCGAAAACGATTCCGTAGGAAAATATTGGCTCCATTCCCCGACTGAGAGTCAAGTCTCTCAGCTAGCCGGATCCGTTTTTAACAATGGCTAAAATTTGATCGGCGACCTCTAGGGACAGGTCCGCCGCCGCCGTCGTCTCCGTCGTCATCCCGACGTAAGCCTCTCCGCCTTGACTAGCTTTTGCAGCGCAGTAAAAAAAAGGCCTCGGTGGCTTCGGACCAAGTCCCTCTCCATGAATGTCGGATCAAGAAGCGGAATCGCAACCTGTAAACAAGTAACTTCTTCCTCCAGCCGACTCGGAGACGAAAGAATGGAAGCTTCCGGAGGCTTCCCCGAATGGTATTCTATACACTTTTGTTTCTCTTCCCTCAGCGATCTATCATGAGATTCGACATCTCGTAGAGAAATCGAATCTCAACAATCCGCTTAGATTTCCTCTGCGGCATGCGATGCGCTTCTGATTCTCTCAAGCATAAACACACTGGAACGTTGGCGGCAAGGAAAGGGGAACGAGAAGGGCAAGTCCAATGCATCGTATATCCGGGAGCTTCTTTTCCTGCGGAATCGATGTGGATACGACCCAGCGACTGGAACAGTGGCATCGAGCGAATCATTCATTTGCACAGGTTCGCCGCGACTCCAATTTAACGCTACTTCTGTCCCCCATTTCGTTTGGCCTCCATCCTCCCCTATCTCTGGCCGGCGGTCTCCCCATCGTTTGACCCGTGCAAGCTCCTCCGGTGACCATCCCCCAGCCCTTCTCTCTAATATGTACTAACCCTGCGAGCCGAATAGTCGACCGGTCGAGCCAGCGAACGGGCAGGCTCGCTACCTCGTTGCTGACCTGCCTCGTGATGAAGGTGGCAGCGCTGGTGGTGTTCGTCGTCGTCGTGGTCCATCTGGGTCTCTTCTCCCTCGACGAACAATCTCTTTTTCCCAATGCGTCCCCCCTCATCCAATGCGTGCATACATTAACACAATACAATGAGTTCGCTGGCCAGTCGGTGGTAATCAGTCTGAACACGCGGACACAACGACCGACAGACCGGACGGACGGACGGATGCTCAGACTCGCGAGCCTCACGCATTCATTCACCCACCAACCCACCGGTCAATCCTCGCGCCGCGCCGGTTTTCCGATTCGAGTAATCGACAAGTCTGCCGAATGTTCCGCTCCCGCGGTTCCGCTGCGGACATTCCAAGGAAAAACACTCGACTTACTCTGGCGGCTGAGATCTCCATTGGAAAAAAAAGTATCCCACCATAGCAAACTGGAAAAATTTCAGTCTCCTCCAAGTCGCGAACGACATATCCGACGCCTGTGATATCTTTTATTGGGGGAGGCGACAATAAATCGCACCGTGGAGGAAAGGATGGACTCGTGAAGGAACGCAGCAGGTTGCTCGGGGTCCACTATCGCTGTATGAAGGAGCGAGACGCTCTAGAAGTGCCACCGCCGCCGCCGCCGCCTCTGCCGACCGGGGGTCGGGCTTAGTCGAGGTCACAGTGACTCATCCGCGGCGGTAGTCATTCAGTCAGTCGGTCGGTCGCTTAGGCTGGCTGGTTGGCTGGCAAGTAAGCCAGGTAGCCTCCAAGGCGAAATGTTCTTAAGAAGAGAAAACCAAGTGTGCCAAGCAGCTTTAGCTGTCAAACTGGGGGACGCTCACCGAAGGAATGCCAGATGAGTTCTGCTGACACGGAGGGGCCATGCATCCATCGAGCGCCAGTAGTAGTAGTGGTACTGTTGTAGTCATCGTGGTAGATCTCCGGGTCGATTGGAGGGCGCGCATTATGCTCTGCTCTGCATATTGACGCTTCACGACGCGAAGAGCGAAAATCATTTACTTCTCATGACTCGCTTAGCGATCCGTCCGGCGAGACGGCGAAGCCGTTGGCTCCGCTCTGGAGACGGGACCGCGCTTCAAAGTCTCCCACCTTGAGGATTGATCGCGATCGCTTCCGCGAGCTCGCATTCGGCGGCGCGTGAGAGCCTCACGAGAGGAAGAGTCCGCGTCGAGTACGCTCGCCGTTGATCGAGCGTTTCCATACGAGTCGAGCCTGTCACGATAATGTTCATTAATCGATTGTGCCGGTTGACCGCGACAGGGGGAGGTTGCTTGTTGCCTAGACTCCGACTTCGACCTCATGATATACGAGGGTCTTCTAATACCTTTCCTCAGGCAGACCGTAGCCGCCGATTCGCTGTCGTCCCGGAGGCTGCAACAGAACTGAGTTATGATGATCGCTTGCAGTGGAGCGGGCGTAATTGATAAGATACCGAGATGGAGATGAAGAGAAAAATGGAGAGGTATACGACAAGGGATCGCCTTCCTTTTGGATCCCGCCCCATTGGCCAAGGTCCCTCGCTGTGGACGGAAGATCGAGCGAACTTGCAATGAACACATTCTAATACGAAGCATGACTCCCATTCGGCGCCGGATGTGCTTGTCTTCCGTAATGGATGACTCTGCGGAGGGAGCCGGGAAACTTTCTCGCGCGAATCCGAGCGGCCGCTGGGCTCGCCGCACGGGTCGAAGGTCTCGGAGCCGAAGGCGAGGAAGCGGCCGTCGGTCTGGCAAGGGCGGGAAAGTTCTCCAGGATTCACGGACCTTTGTTGAGGAGTGGCCAACCTAGCACCTGGGTAGGTTGTGGTATCTAGCGATCCGTCTTAGTTGCCCATTGCTATTCCGAGCGATGCGTGGTCTATGGAGAAGTCCAGGCCTTGGCCAATATATGTGGAAATCAGACACTCTCTCTCTTTCTCGACGTTATTCCTTTCTCCAACCCTCCGGCTTCCTCGTTCATCGTCCGACAACTATTTGGATTTTCAGGGCATTTGCTTGACCCTTGGGTGCTGCTAAGTTTCCGCGACAAAGTTTGGAACGACATTTTTCCTCCACCTCGGATGAGAAGACTACGTTCAGAGCGGGGCTCCTGATTGAGTCGACCCGGGCTCACTTGGGTCAAGGAAGAGCTCCTCAGAAGGTATCTCAGAAATTAGCTGCTGGACGAGTCTCTTTCTGTCTCTCGACTTCATTACCGAGCCGCTAGTCGGGGTCGTCGAGTCGACGACCGGGTGAGCTCTTTGCGTAGCATCGCTCGCTCGGTTGACGCTCCCACTCGATGCAAATATGCTGCACTTTCTCTCCACCCAGTGTATGATGAGTTTAGATATCCGGAGGAAATTGCCACTTGCCTTGTCTCTCGATTACTCAACGCCGAAAAACGAGAGGGGCGTATGGGCAAGAGAGACGCTAGGGCGGACAGGCGTGAGATGTCCTGCCATGACCGACTTCACTCAGCTCCACCGAGGGAACACTGTGAGCGCGTAGATGCGTTTACTGAAAACCACACCCGAATATTCCGAT